ACGAGAGATTTTTAAATTTTACATAATTTAACGAGTCATTTGGATCGAATTAGCGACGTGGGATTTTCTTTATGCTAACTCGAACTTTATGCTAAATCGAATTAAGTCCCTCTCAAGGATATTCCGGTCGCAAAGAAGTCCGTACATGAGATACGTGATTTCGTTTCCCCCCTTGGCTTACGTTACTGACGACTGGGACACCGCGTCGCCTACAAATTATCGCCATCATCCTCGAGTCGGTCGTGGTCGCGGGTGAAATTTTCATCTTCGTCTCCGCTCGGCGACGACAATGGCGGGGACGTGTCTGCCGTTCGTTCGCCGGTACTCAGCAACAAAACGCATTTGAATACCGTGCACGTAGAAGAGCCGTAGCATCGCCGCGCGCATTTTCGCCCATGATTCATATTAATGGAACTCGTCTCGATGCCGCTAATAAAAAGCTCGACGTCGTCCTCGTACGATGTCTTTTAACGCTTTTAAAGGAAAGAAGAAGAAAGAAAAGGAAAAAAGTTCTGCGAAAAATTTTGGCCTGCCTTTCGTTCCTGGAAGCACTTCCTTGGAAACGAAGATTTCGTTCTTTTTGATCTTTTTATATTTTTCGAGACTGTATCTTCGCCGAGATTTTATCTCTCGAGTAAAACTGATTAATTGTATTTATTTAAATCCTTGCGGAATTTTAAATTTCTTCTTATTAACATGTAACATGCATATATTTGCAATATTTCTTGTGTTAATTTTGTTTTACTTGTGCCACTTTTCTTCTTAATTATTCGCGAGAAAGTGAGAAAGATATTAATATTAGTAGCGCACGATTACATCTATTAATTGTGCGCATTAATATACTATCGTAACATATATAAAAAGTGATGATTAAGTAATTTGTTTTGACGATAATAGTGTAAGTAGTAAGTTGCAATCACACATTAATAATTATATTTTCGTAAATATACTTATTTTTCTCATTAATTCTCACTAATCGTTAATAAAATAACTTTCAGGCCAAGATTATTCTAACAACAATCTGTGAATGGAACTCTAAAAATTAAAGATAAAAATAAAAAAACAGCCTTTTTAAAATGCAAATAAAATACATTATGTATGTAGAATCACGATAAAAAAAAAATACAGTATTTATATTGAAATGTGTATCACATCGCAATGCAGGAAGACACGCGATTTAAAAAAAAAAAAAATTGCTAAGAAGATTAATGGACGGCGTACATAATAAAGTAAAATAAATAAATTTAGCAAGAGAGAACAATTTAGCATTTCTAATTAAATTCACCTAATTAAATTGTCGAATCAGGAGAGAGAAATTCCTTCCTCTTTTTTTTTTCCACATAGAACGTAGTTAGAACGTAGTTAGAAACGTAGTTAGAACCTCTGATACTGATATCCTTTCTCTTCTACAGTGCGTCGACGAGCTACCCCCGGAGATGCGCTCCCTGCTGAAGCTGGCGGTGGAACTACCCCCGGTGGCCCACGCCGCGGTGTCCGGCGCCCTCGCCGCGATCGGCGCGATCGTCCTTCTGGGGGCGCTCATGTGCTTGGCGCGCGCCGCCAAGCGCCAGGAGAAGTTGCACCTCAGCAACCCCCTGCCGGCGAATGCGACGAGCACCAAGAACGGCCAGCTGAATCCGGCCTTCAGCAAGTAGAGCCTCTGCCTGGAGGCTGGTGGCGGGCGAGTGAGGAAATCCGAGACGAGTGCGCGGGTGCTCGGGTTTCTTTTACCTTTCCCGCCTCCCCCCCCCCCTCGCGAGACGAATAATAATCGCGACCGCGAGTCTTGTGAGGACTTGTATGATAATCTTACTACTTATCTTATCTAGGCGACGGGCATGTGCTTTATAATCTTGATTAGGATTTCGAGTCTCGCCTTTCGTTTTTCTCGCGAGAGGAGCAGAGAGAATTAGGGAAATATGTGGGGAGCGACGCGGCGTCCTGGCGCGACGCGAATTTTTTTATCGGGTCGCGCGCAGAGGACACGCGCGCCGATATATATCTTAGATTTATTTATGTTACGTTACTCGCGCGCGTTTTCTTCCCGGGGATGGTGGATTTCGTTTTCCAAACGAATTTGCGTCGAGTCGCACAGTACAAATTAATTGCGAGGCAACGATAATTCGAGATCTGTAGAAGATAGGGATATTCCACGTTGCTTTGTACTACGCGCGAATGAGGAAGCTAACTCTGGGAAATCTTTGTATTGATACAAAAAGTACCCCCTCCCTCCCTCCCCCCCTCCCCCTCCTCCCCCCCTCCCCTTCAAACAGGGAATGTCTAGAAATTAGAGTCTTAGGGTTTGTTTTTATGTGAAAACATCGTATTTTATAATCGCGGTTTTAAAATCTTCGGTATTCTTAATGAAAAGAGCGAATCTTATTATTTTCTTGATGCGATTTGTTGAGGAAAGCCGTCGAACGAACGTTCTCCTCTCCGACAAACAATTTTCTTTTTTGTGGCTATAGAAAACTCAAGTTGAGTCATCGTTTCGAAGAAGTCTCTGATTCAAATATTTACGATGGTGCGACGCTGTTCTTTTTATCAATGTTATTAATAATTCTCCTTGATTCACATCGAATCGAATCAGCTTGCAAGACCGCATCGTTTAATCGCATGGAGCAATTACCGCTGGGAATGTTGACGTAAAAGATCAAAGATGAAATTAATATTCCGTCCATGATGTGTCCCTCGAGGCCAAGCCTTCGTTCGCGACTTCAATTTGGATTTGCATCGAGCAATTTGTATAATCGAGGCGCAACGACAGCGGAACGGCAGAAATGTTTTTTTTTTTTCTGTACATAGATATATAGAACTTGACCGTCGTCGTTGTCGTCTATCGATTGTAATTATCAAGAATGTACTATTTTTCGTTATTCGTTTGTACATGTATTATTATTATTATTATTATTATTATTATTATTATTATAAATAATATTATTAGACGTAGATTATAATTAGACCTAATAAATAAATTACTTTTGTACGATAAAAATCAAAAGATACCAAACGAATCGCGCGCGCGCGCGTGCACGTGAGAGAAATCTGGTTATTGGTGTCAGCGTAATCGTTATGTAGTTGTATAACTATGTTCTTTCTCGACGTTACTTTACTAACTCTCCAAAGTCACGCACGTACGTTCTCTATAAGAACTCTATAAGAAAGGTAGATTCAAAATCTATCAGCTTGGTGCAAAAAGCTTGTCCTCTCTCCTTTCCATCAAATAAATTCTTAAGGGAAAAAAAAAAAAAAACTAGGGGAAACTTCTCTTCCGTTTCAATTTTCTTCGAAATTTACTTTTATATCTTCACTTGATAAGATCTGACGATCTTTTTGCACCGAACCGATTTATATTTATAAATTAGAGATCTGAAAGAATGAGAGGGAGAGAGAAAGAAGAGAGGGAGAGAAAGAGAGAGAAAGGAATAGGAACCCTCACGTATTGCTCACGTCTTGTTTCTCGCGTGTCTCTTCTCTTTCGTCCTGGGACTTTTTCGTGCTTTCTCTTTCATCCTGTTCTTCTCGCGGTGAAGAATGGGACGGATTCGAAAATTCGTCCGGGTGCGATGAATGCAGGAGGAATGAGGAAAGAAATATACGATTAGAATTGATTATTGTGACGACAGGTCGATTTGGTGTTGACCATCATTCCACTCCCACACGTCACTCGCGCGATTGCAACACGCAGACGTATTATTACACGCATCATCATTACGCGTTTATCACCCACGTACACCATGACGGACGGATGTAGATGCGTGTAGATGGTATTCGCACTGATACGAAAACGAGTTTTTTTGCTCAAAGGAATCGAGAGAATTTATTTCGCTCGTTCGAAGCAAGGGTTATCAAAGTGAGTTAATGAGCGACGGATCAGAAATCTGCTTGTACACATGTAGACGAATTAGCGATAGATCAAGCGCGACGAGCGATTCGCGTGAATTACCGTGATTGATCATAACCGCGGAAGGATAATTTCCGAAGTGAGGTAAGTATAGATCCGTCGTAGGAATAGTTGTAAATATGCTAGAAAAAAAAAAAAAAGTAAAAAGAGATCTATCGAACGTTGTATATTAAAATAAAAATCAATACAGCAAAGTAAAAAAGTACGTAGTGCGTACCATATGGTTTCCCGTAATATCGCAAGGCTACATATCGAATAGTGTTCTTGTGATGGAGAACTCTTGTCTTTTCTCGCCTCGCCTTTTGCGCTTGAAAACGCAAATACGTAGCACCATAGGCGTATCTAGGATTTTTTTTTAAAGGGAGGGAGTTAGCAATTCTGTTAATATACAAACAGATGACTTTTTTTGCACAAATAAATTACTTTTCGAGATATTTTAGAGCTTAGAATATCTCATTGTTTCTTGATTTTGAATGAAAAAAAAATATTAGATTTTGTAAATCATAACTTTAATTTTTTTTTTTAATTCTCGGGGATTTGAACTCCCCCCCCTCCTCCCACCTATGGATACACCTATGCATAGAAGGGATTAATGAATATCGCGGACCCCCAATGAAAGAAAACTTACAATCTATCGTTAAAATAGCCTAAACGGCGAGTTTTCGTTTGAACGGTCGTATGTAATACGTACTGTCGTCACCGCTTAATTAAGTACGGTCGTTCATTACGGTCGGTGCGACATTATTACCGCGCGTAACGCGCCGTCGCGGTCGGCGACACCGCCAGGTAATAATCAAATGACGAGACGCGGAATGCCGCAATCCTCGACGGATCGCAACGGCATAATTACACGTTATTCCCGATGCACTAAAGTCTCAATCAACAAACTTTGGCCGCGTTGCGGGCGTGTCCCTCTCTCTTTCTCACGGTGCAACAACGGTACGTCAACATGCTGTAGGAACTACTGGTTCACCGACCTTCTCGCGGACTTTACGCCCGTCCTCGAATCGATTCTCTATCGCACCCCGAATAAAAATGAAGTCCAATTCCAGCGAGTAATCAACAGATATCCCATCCAGCTGTGCTTATTTCGCTGGTTTATTTCCGGAACGCAGTAAGTAATTGCACGTAAATCTATTTCCTACGAAATGGAAATAAAAGAGAGATCTTTTAGATTGTTGTTCCTTAGAATTTTTTATGTCAATTCTCGTCCTTTTCATGAAATTTTTTTCTTTGATAAATAAAACGAAAGTAATCTCGTTTTATTCGTGAGATTCAAAGTTCGCTTGGTAGATATTTTGTTAACAAAACATTCACGCGGATGAGAGATGTTTCCGTGTCTTGATCGAAAGACCTGTCAATTTTCATTATCACGTCCTTCGCAATGATAGAATCTTTCGCGTGCGAATCGAATTAACACAGTTTACCAGTATATTCTAATTACACAACAATCATTATTAACGTTACTAAATCCTAGATGAAGATGAGAATTCTCTACGAATAATTAACAATCTGCATCCATTGTCTCGAGCCGAATTCAAGCACGAAGATTCTAAGAGGTATTTAAAAACTTCAAAATATCTAAAAAAATAGATTTTTAATGTCTTTGAGATCTCCGTATTATTTCGGAATTCTTTTTTTTCTTCTTCTTTTAATGATCTCCGCTTTCTTTCCTTCCTTCCGAGTCTCAATTTTTAATCAACGCGATTCGAGAAGGTTGTTCCGCGTGGACGAGAATATTGTTCGAAATGAACGACTTTTTACGGATTTTCATGTTCCGTTCCACGCAATGTTTCCAGAGACAGGCAATTATTGCACTCAAGGAAAGTATCATTATTATCACACTGCCCCACTGTAAGGTCATCTCCACATTGGCTGCTGTGAAATGCGCGGCCTTCAAGGCTTCTAATACTTGTGCCGGAAGTTCATCTACCCCGGCCTCGACCCAGATAAGCGGAAGAATTGTGCCGTCTTTCAATCTTCCGAGGAATGGCACAGCATTCGCCTTTCGAACCTCCACGTTTATTTGAATTCTCGACCAACCACCGACGGGAGCCGCTAAACGCTAGAAATAGAAATTTAATTCCATTTTCATTCACATTCCAATCAATAAAAGTGATAAAAAATGCCAATTTTTTTTAATATCATTATTAATTTTTTTTACTCAAAATCAAATGATTTTAATTGTCACGATCGATACATACAAACATAACAATTATCTAACGTAATATAAATATTTAATAATAATATAAATATTTAATAATAATATAAATATTTAATAATAATAATAATAAATTTAATCAACATACCGAATGTATATCCATGTAGCTCTCATGAACTTCCTGCCGAGGATTCAGGCCGTCTACATGCTCCAATAGAGATTTGTCGCCACCATAAAAATGCGGAAACGATGAGAGAAAAGGTACGCCGTACAGACACGCGGACACATTGAAGATTCCCGCAGGCGGACAGACTCTGGTGCCGTCTACTTTTGGGCAAAAACACTTGTTTTGCTCGTACGAAAAGTTATACACGTCAGGTGTAACTTTATACCTGAGATGAAAGAAAATTACACGCGTTAAGAGAGACGTACGTATCTCAATGTACCATTGAATAAATTAAATCAAATCAAATTAAATTAAATTAAATTAAATTAAATTAAATTAAATTAATTATTTTTTCAATAAAAAGATTGCAATTTTATATATATATATATACAATTTTATAATTGAATTTCTTTATAATACGAATTTGAGTGCGGAAATGTGAGAGAATATTATTTTCAAATATTAATTACACGCGTTAAGAAACGTATCAATGTACTATTAAATAAATTAAATCAAATCAAATTAAATTAAAATTAAATTAAGTTAATTACAATTAATTATTTTTTTCAATAAAAAGATTGCAATTTTATATATACATTATAATTGAATGAATTTCTTTATAACACGAATTTGAGTGAGAGAATATTATTTTCAAATACTAATTAACTTGATTGTTTGATAAGGAATAGCTTTATTAAAATAAAAATATTAAAAAAATAGTATCCCTTTATCCCTTTTAGACAATTGAAACATTTGAGATATATGTACAAAATTTGTTTCTTTTTTTTTTAAAGAAGAATTACCTTAAAGAAGGTATGCCGTGGGTGATGGTCTTTTCGGCGAAATGTAAAGGTACCATCCTGCAAATCTCCTTTAAATACATGCTTAGAGTTTGATTTGTGTCCTTTAACAAATAGGCTGGAAATCTGCTGCCGTCGGTTCCGCTGATTTTATCACATCGCTCGTCATTCCAAATGTGCCGGTTATTTACCCCGTTTACTCGCTCGATCATCCCAACACTGTCCATCCCTCGCGATCCCGTGCGCATCGTGATACGATCCTTATCGATACCTTTTTTCTGCAATAAAGAAAACATACGTTTCACATTAATTGCGACTAAAAAATTATATTATATCACTATTTCTTGCTTCAACACTACAATAAAATCATTTTCCGTACTGTAATATTTATTTCTTTACGAAAATATTTCTTTACGAAATTTCTTTCCCTTCCTGTATCTTCTTCATAGACCTATACGAAAATATTGCAAAACAATTTAAGTCTTTTTTACATAAGTTATATCGCAACGAATAAAATTATCATTTAATAATTTTCATTAAATATACAGAATTAATATATTCTAAAGAAAAAATCTAGATAAAAAAAATGTTTAGAATTTCTTATCTTTAGAATTAACTCAATATAACTCAAATTGCTTTTTAATATCTCAATTATCAATTAATAAATTTAAATAAAATTGACGGAGTTAATTTTTAATATTACATTATCTCTTGTTCCTTCCACTAGTCTGAGATATATTTCACATACACTATATCTCATGGTTCATAATATTTTTAGATAACTTTTTTTAATATGATTTAACATGATTTTAATATGACTTAAACCCATTATCTATAAAATTGTTAACAAAAGTCACAAGATAAAATGCATATCATGTACAGAAATGTTGAAACAAGTTTCAGGTTGAAGATAGCGAAATGAACAGCGATATAATAGAAAAATAATTATGTTTTTAATTATTTATGTTAAAAATAAAGATAACTTCAAGATATCTTTCAGAATTCTTTATGAAATAAAGATGTTTCTTAAAGAAGTCTTAAAGACAACTTAAAATGCGTCAATTTTAGACATTTTGCTTATTGGCTAATGTTTAGTTGACGAATATAATGAAAGCTGACGAAGCAAAAAAAAAATTTGAATTATATTTATTATTAATTATATTTATTAAAAATATTGAAATTTCTTCGAGTACTAGACTATATTATCCTTTGCATTCCTTCAAACAAAGCTTAGTTTCCCATTCTATTTCATTACTTTACGGGCATTTTGCGAGTTTCAAACTGTCTATAATCTTCATCTTCAGTAAAATAAATATCTTTAAAAAAAAAAAATTTTTTTTCTTTAATGTATTCACGAAACCCTATCATCATTTGTATCGCAATTAAAAAAAAAATCTTTATGCCTCGTTAAACGTAAAACACGTACTATAGCCAATATGCCGAATTTGTCGAAGGATATGTCTTGCTGGAGCATTATTATCGGCTTGAGCATGTGAAAGAGTTCGGTGTCGTATCCCCAGATGAAACCGCCGGCGGTCTCCTTGACGAACGTGCGCTCTTGCAGGCTCGCCAGCATCATGTTGACGGATAGTCGCAGCATGACGTTCCAGTCCCGGACGTACGCGGTGACGGACATCAACGGCACATTCGGCACCACGACGGTATCGTTGTCCGGCCTGCCGCCTATCCACTCGTAGGACCTCTTGTCCTGAAAGGTGACCGTACCGTTGTCCTCTTGCAAGGCCACGTTGACGCGGGTCAACGTCTCCTGGTAAATGTAGGGGCCGACCTCTTGAACGCGCAGCTTGCTCGCTTCGCCCGCCTCGAACTCGTCCACGTTCGTGTAATTAAAAACGTAGATCCTGTATTTGGACTTGACGGGCGGGCGTATCCACCAGTCGAAGGTGTTGCTGCCGTTTCGTAACTCCATCTGCGATGTCAGATAGTTGTCGAACGTGTCCGTGAACCAGATCGTGTAGAAGCAGGCGAAGCTCGCCAGGAAGATGCCGCCGTAGATCCAGGCGAGCCAGATGCGAAGACGATTGCGCCGGGCGTAATTCGTGATCGTCCTCTTCTCTATGTCCGCGAGGGTGGTGTCGACCACCGAGATCGTCATATTGGTATTCGCAAAAAAATGCAATCGAGTAAAGAGAGAATCACCCTCGGTACTAGCCTGATGCTCGATCTTGATGCTCGTCAAGTGTCAAGAGAGAAGGGAACCGAATTAAATTCAAAATTGAAATTCGAGAAAATCGAATTTCTCGAAGAGGTGTGTCTTCTCGAAAGCGCTAATCTCGATGCACTGTCCGTCGAAAATGTTTTTGTAACAACGAAGACAAACAAATTGGAATCGCGCCGGTGGCGCGTCGAGTGAAAATCATCCGATCGGACGCAAGCAGATAAGCTCCGAGCGTCACCGTCGACGTATAACGTTTTTCAACGAATCGGCCGCTCAAGTCACAGCGACAAGTGTATAAAAAAAAATCTCCCCGCCTTTTTTAAAATCCAGATGATAACCCTGTCATGGCGATGACCTGTGTGATGGCTAACACCTCCGATAGTGTAGTTGGGCGCGCTCAGTTCCAAAGCGATCGCGCACTGTTACGTGCGAGACGCGACGCAGTGTTAAGAAATTGACGAGCTCTTCTCGAATAAATGAGACCTGCGAAAGAATCTGTGGGTGGAAAGAATCTTCTGAGAGATTAACGCAATTACGTTTTTCTCTCAAGCCATATTCCATATTTACAGTAATATCCATTATCCATATCCACTATCCTTGTTGAAATAGAGAACCTCTTATCGAAGAAATGTCATACGAGTTGACATTGTTTCGAGTCAATTTTTAAACAGCACAACATTGTGAAAGAGAAGAAATTAAAGAAATTAAAGAACGCAAAAATCAAATAAAAAGACCACTATCAAGGTTGCCGCTGACCTGAGTATCGGGGGTGTTTAACTCTCCGCCTAACCTCTACAATTGTGCGAGAGAGAGAGAGAGAGAGAGAGAGAGAGAGAGAGAGAGAGAGAGGAGGA